ACAGTTGAATTTGTTTTTTTCTGAACTACATTACTACGTCGGTGAAAATAAGTCGTCCAATTTAAAAAAATTGTAATGACCTTGAAATCTTAAACAATATGACCTTGAGAAAAATGTTTTGTGTATCACACTATTTGTTCCTTCAATTTGAACAACTTTTTCCTTTGGTATTTTTTTGTATCATTGCAAACAGCAAAGATATCCTAAATGATCGAGTTAGAGGAAACACCCTGTATATATATATATATCAATTAATTATCGTCGCTTGCGTACACGCACAGTCTACGGGACATTAATAACGACTGCAATACCGAATTCTCTGTATAAGCGTCGATTATCAGGTCTCGTTCCAGTTTAAATTAGTTTTCCAGGCCAAACAGAATCGTCGTCCTCGCGTAAATCTACATCCTCGCGAGGATGTTCATTACACGACTTCGTCGAAAAAATTTGTTTGTCCCGAGCGTAAATTGTTCGGGAACGAAGTTTATCGATCACAAAAATGTATTTAACACAATTTCTTAGCTGATCTTTCGAGTTACTTATTTTTCTTCTTCTTTGAGAATCACGATTATCACCTTGAGGTTTCCTCAAAAGTGGGTAGGTATCGAAATTGGCTGACGAAACTAATTTAAACTCGAGAACGAGAACCAAGCTCGGATATTCTGTCATATCCTTGAAGCTCGGCCAAAAGTCACTAATCTCTCAAGTTGATTATCGCCAACGTTGATTAGAAGTGCCATCAAATTACCGTTACGCGGAAAACTCATTTTAAATTCATCAAAGAATGTCGGCGGCTATTATACCAGCGAGGAGAATGACACGCACCGCGTATAATAATGCGGTTCCAGTTTTCCATCCCGACGGTCGCCACCCTCCCTCCCCCCTTCCCCCGATCTCCGCGCGAGTTTAAGCGATTAAGCAATAAGAGGTTAAAAGCAGATTGCGTCGTTACGTCCGATAGTCGTAAACCAGCCAGCAATATAACAACCTAATCCTCTTTATCTCTCTTCGCTTCTTCATAATAAAACAGCGAAACGTGTTCGCGTTAGGGACAAATCTATCGACGTTTCCACGAGTTTCCAATATTTATTCAACAATCGTTCGCGACGGGGGGAGAACTTCGTCAAATTCGAATGGGATTTATTCGGGATCGGTCGATAATTCGCGAATGTGTTCGGTGCGCGATTTTCAACGGGATCGCGAAGAATCGTCTTCACGTTGTGTACAAGCTCGAAATGCGATTTCCGTTTTTCGATAGAAACCCTCGGACCCGGGCTTTTCCGACCGTACATCCGCGAAATGACAATTTGTCCTCATCGGACGACCTTACGACCGACACTTTCGATCGGATATGACGCAGATATAATAGAATTCTCGATGAGCCCCGTCTATTTACCCTCAGCCTTGCAGTAATTTAGCCACTAGTTGATTGTCCATCTGCGTGTTTATTATTGATCGCGCGCGCGTTCGTAAAGCGGGCCGATCTGATTAACGACACGTGGCGCGGCGACGCTCCCATTTCCAACTAGAGCCGTTTTACGAAAAAGAAAAAAAAATTCCCCCGAGGGAAAACTCGCGTCGTTACGTTAACGTAATTTTCCCTCGGCAAACTCATCTTTCCAAGGTCGGGCTTGTGCCCGAACGACTCGATAAATGTCGCCGTTGAAAGATGAGTTAAACGGCAAGCGCGCGTTCTTCTCTCTCTCTCTCTATCTTTCTCCCTCTTTCTCTCTCGCTCTCTCTCTCTCCGCGACACGCTGGAAAAGATTTCTAATTAATTAAACTTCACCGCGCGCATTCAAATGAAAACGCGAACTTCATCCTGTCTCGTCATACCGTGCGGTTTATCGATCCGATAAAGGCACGCAAATGCAGCTGCAAAATCAACATCGCCCTCGAAAAGGTTGAGTAACCTACTTTTCACGTCGCGGCGAAAGGGAGATGCATTCTACCACCGGTTAAACGCGAGCGAGACACGAGCGCCCTTTCTGGAAATCTTTTTTATTGGTCGAGATTATTGAAAACCCATATAATATAAATTTGAAACACGGTAAAAAACAATTTGTACTATTTGTTATTAAACAATAATAATTTCGTTAAACTCGTGTTATCCGAAATACGTTCGAACGTAATTTCAATTCAAAATTCGGAAGTTTTCTCGACCCCACAAGGGATGATCCTACCTCCCCGATTTCAATAACCGGCGTGGTACTTTTCCACTCGTTGTCATTACGTCGTCCTCGAGGGAGCGACTTCCTCACCGTCCGCGCTCGTCATAAGTACACCCTCGTCGACATCGTCTAACGATCGTCGTCCAGGCACAGTAAGAGAAAGAGCAAGATATCGAAAAGCAAAGCAGAAAAAAGAAGAAAGAGCAGAAAAATGGAACGCGAACTATTCGAATTAACGAGAAGAAGAAGAAGAAGAAGAAGAAAAAGAAGAAGAAAAAGAAAAAGAAAAAGAAAAAGAAAATAATATCTCCAACTGTTGAAGTAAATTAATTTTTTTCCAACACTCGGTGCAAAAACTTCACCAACAATTTAATTTTCATTAAAACGTAGAAAAATAAAGATTTAATCGACGTTCCTCGTCAGACTTGTATCAAATGAATTTTCCATTTCCTAGAAGGTAACTGTTTTTCGTGAATGATTAATTGATTCCCGTTTAAGACAAAAGAAGAGAATTGAAACACAAAATTAAATTTCTCGGGACTTGGTTGATTGCGAAATAGTAAAAATAAAGTTTGACATTTCTTATTTCAGTTGTGTTACACTAGAAGCAATAATTAACTGTAATATTTCCATCTGTTTTCTCAATTATTTCATTCTCACTTTTTTTCGAAAATAAAAAATATTTCACATTTCATTATCGCAAAAATGAGCAGCGTGTATAATCGGAAAAGAGGATAAACCTTACCGCGTAAGCGTGTGCAGCGACGAGGCGCGTATGAGCGGCCAAGAGAGGCTTTTAAACGGCAATCGATCGCCGCCGCGATGAGGTCAACGTTGGTTATCCCGAGCGTATACGCGGACCAACGCGGAAGAGAATCTCCGTGGCCTGGCGTATCAGACGGCGAATCGCCGGAATCGCCGTGCCGTCGTATCAGCGCCCTGACCCCCAATTATTCACAATCGGAGCATAACGTACGATAAACGAGCGCGCAGAGATAACGTCGTGCAGACGTGACAGCGAATCCGTGTCATCGTACCGTCATCGTAATACCGTTACGTGTGTTCGCAACGTTGATGCAATCTCTTTGACAATTAAAACAATACCGTTGATCGATGACGACGGCAACGTCAGATCGGACAGGGACGGTCAGAACGATCGCGTCGTCGTTACTATCCGTTGTTGTAAATTTATTACGACGAGAAAGGAACAACGCGCGAGATCTCCTTCTCTCTCTTTTCCATGGTATATAATATCGAAGTCGCAAGTAGATCAGCCGGCGACTGGGCGGACACCGTCTGTCAATTCACGTTGCACCGGCACTGTCACCACTATTCACCGTCACTGTCACTGCCTTCGCCGTGATCGTAGTCGCCGTCGTTGGCATCATCACCCCGCTCGGCAGAGCACCCGAGCGCGAATCGACGACGATGACACGAACCGGCACGAAGAGAAGAACACCTAGTTGGAAACGCGGTGGTCTGTAAACGGAGCCTGCGGCAGACACGGCACGTTAACACCGCGAACGCAGAATCAGCCGCACTCACCGAGAGGGTGTCTTCCTCTATCTTTTTCTCTCACTCTCACCGAAGAGGATCACGACGGCGCACTTCTTCCTCAATGCGACGAAACGGTTTCGCACACAACACGGCAGCGGGGGCAGCTGCTCGGTGTCGAGACGCGCGACCTCGAGGCGTCGTCCAACGACGGCGCCACGCGCCGTGCGGCGTCGCGACGCCGGCGGTGGCGAAAATTCGAGACGCGCCGCGAAACAACCACGTTGCCGCGCCACGAGGGATAAAGAGGGTTGCTGCTGCATTGACGGTGGCGAACGCAGAGCGAATCGATCGAAACCATCGCGGCTGTGCGCAACGAAGCACTCGGTTCAACCGAGCGGTTCGGAAACTTGAATACGTTCCGCGAAACGAAGAAGTGCGAGTCGGTAAAAAGGTAAAAATTGAATTCCGTTTCGGAAGAAACGAAAGCGGGCGTCTAACAAGTTTATCGCTTTCACGCGAGAGTTTTGCTCTTTCCCAGTAAGAATTAAACGTAGAATTTTTCTTTTGAAAATTAAAATTCAATTCTAAAATAATCTCTCGAAAAGTTTGTTAAAATCAGACGTGCGAAAATTTGTTTTTCCAGTGGTAAAATGCGAAACAATGAAATTCCGAACAGTAGAAAGTAATTCGAGTTTTATTTGGCGAACACAATGCGAGTTTTTAATCTAGTATTTTTGAACGTGACGACTGAATAATTTGTGAATTTCGCGCGAAAGAAATTGCTTCTCGCGCGAGAGAAGCACAGCTGTACAACAGTCGAAGAACAAGATAGACTGCAGATGCGATAGGCCGTTGGAAAAAAAAAATAGCAGGGACATAAACGAGCGTGGGCGTGAAAGCGTCACACAATATTCATGAAGAAATATACAATCCCGATCATTCGAAGAGTTACAAGGTTAAAAATAGGATAAACAGGGCGTGTAATTGTTCAATCTAAAATAAAATGACTCTATTTCAGCAGAACGGCAAAACAGAGTCAACTTGATTCACAACACAATCGAATCGATCGACGTCCATTAACTCTTCTTATCTATTTAAGTGTTTATGCCGCAACAATGTACACACAGAACTTGTATTTGTAATGCGATATCGCGATATTACATCTATGTGTACGTACATCGTATACGTTCGGGAATCGCTAATGAGAATCATTGATGCTATAACAAATGTTGCTATGTAAACACATCGGTGAAAGATGAGTCGTTCGATGCATCGGGACGCCGATGCAACACGTATCGCGTGTCAATAAATAAAAACGGTATATATACTCACCTTGCATAGGCCGCGTGGCGCTGCGCGACATTGTTCGCGTGATTTAGATTTAGGCTGTACTTTCGAGTTAGGCGCTTGTGGACGGAGTCTGTCGATATGTCCGCCGACGTGGAAGATAGCGGTCGTTACACGGAGCGATCTCCCGACGCGACGCTGGTCAGCTGTTGTTGTCGTGAAGTTAGCATCAAACGCGCGTCGACGCGGTGTAAAAACGCAATGCGTACAAAATTCTTCCCGGCAACCGGTCGGTAGTGCCGTCGTGTCCAGGTGTCCCGTAGAATTGTCTACGAGCAGGATGACGGTGTCGCTGCCAGCAACGATAAACGATTCTTGACCGCGACAATCTCCTGATCGCGGGACGCTGGAAAAACAATGAAGAATCGGCGATAGTGGTCCTTCCACCGCGAAACGCAGAGGACGAAGAGAACCGAGGCACGTAGGTGACGACGACGGAAATGACGGCGCTGATGACAATGACGTTCTCCGCGCACGAACGAAGACGAACGATGATGAGGAATTCCCGCTGGATTTTCGACGGCGACGTAAGGCACCGTTCAAGTCGGATATTCTGCGGCGAGATAATGACGAGAGGATATCCGGTGTGGGGGGTACGGGGGGTCCTTTGGGGGTGGCGTCCATGTGGGGTGGGTAGTCACCTCCGACCTTCCCTGCCGCCTGCGAGCCACCTCCTCCTCCTCCAGGACCTCCTCCTCGTCCTCGAGGTGCCCCAGCTTTTGGTGTCCGCGGACACCACCCTCGCACACCGCCAAGTTTCACCGATCGGCTCCCACGTTATCAGGTCTCGTGGGTGCAGGCTGCAACAAAAAGAGGCCTTCATCAGAAACCAAACTTCATAAATCAAATTTATTTTCCGTTGCTCGCGGCGTTCGATCAAATTAAAGATAACGTAACTTCGTTTAGTTCGACATTTTAAGGTGCGACAATCGATTATTTGTACACACCTCTAGCGCTACAAATGTGTGTTTTTATGAAATTATATATTTTTTTAAGATATTGCGCGCGCAAATATCCGTAGTCTTCCATATTACATAATTGCTCGTGAAAAATTGTCGAGCTCGGTAAAAAAAAAAAAAAGCAGAGCGGTTGACGTGGGACATATCGACGGTGAAATGAGGAAAAGTGTGGTGAAAAACGGAGTGGCCCATCGAGATATCGTTTGCACAAAAGGCATCGTTCAGCAGCGATTGACCTATCTACCGTTAAATGTGCTGACGTAGAAAAGAGCAGCGGTAATAATGACGTAGCAAAAATGTATATGATAATCAGATAACAAATAATAACAAACGCGCGCACTTATGACTTGATCGAACACAACGATAAAGACGTTTCAAATCGTCGCAATAGTACAAAGACCAGAACCGGACACATTACTTCAAATTGATCGAATGTGTATTAATGTTGTATTTTCCCCACATATTGTAAACTTCGTTCACAATAAAAAAGTCAATATTTCCCCAAATCATATTTTTTGTTGTACTTTATTTTCACATATTCTAGTGTGTGCGCGCGATTTATTAATGTTCAATACTGTTCAGCGAGAACACCGCAATCTCATAATGAGAAATTATGTGAGAAAACTAATTAAACCTCACGTCTCGAACAATACACGCGACAGATAATTACCGGGAACATTTATTTTTTCAAGAACCAAAAGGACAAATTACAGTTACACGAACGTTAAATTGCGATTATTATATCGACTTTAAATCTAGTTGCGCGTAATTTTACAGAAACCTCATTGTCAATACCCGAACTGTGCCGCGCGATACATTATACATATTTTTACCAGATATTTGTAGGTTTATGTTTACGATGAAATATTCACTAATGAGAATTATATCGATTATCACTTACGCGTTCGTTAGTTATTTACCAAGTTACGGTTTTGATTGTGTTGTGGGTTATATTGTCAGGATATTTTGTCTCCGTCGTGCTTGTAACAAGACAAAACGCAATTTCTATATAATTTTATCAACACTGAGTCTCGATATCGGAGAATTTTTTTTTTTTTTACCAAGATCGGTCTATCTATTACAAACAATTTTTATACTGTCTTAGATAACTTACTGCTTCTCTCGATACACCGATTAGTCACGGTGTAATCTTTCAAGAAGCTGCACGATCTCAAAATAAATATCAAATTTCCATACGTTCGATTTAATATTTACTCGATCGATTGTTCAAAACTAGACGATCTCTCGAGCCACATTCACTCGATCGACCTTTTGCTTTTCGTCTGTTATTCGGCATCTACCAACCTGATAACGGATTATCCGCGTTGAACTGATCGTTTACGCATGACGACTGCGTTTTCAAGCGGATCGAGCAAAGTGTCAAGTAAAAAAGATTTATTGAATTTCGTATCTTTTTTGAAAATGGAGTCGCAAAAAATATTAATCTTCATTATGTCATTCGTCGTACATAAAATATAATATTTAAAAACTTGGAAAAAAAAATCACGATCAATCCGCGCGAACGAAATTACATATCGGGGCACTTAACGAGTGTTAATGGCGGCCGGTCACGAAAAAGGGACCGATGAAACGTGAAATGTGGAACGCGTGAAATCCAGTTCTCGATCCCGTATCTCAAGGACGCACATCGGCATAAACCGTACTTCGTTACCGTACGCCGAGCCGGTGTAACGCTTAATGGTCAATCGAAGTAAAGTCGCAACCAAGCTTTACCACCCTCGTTACGTATTCACGTATCCTTGGATTTGCAGAGAACTTTTGTCGCGGTCTGACGTGTCCAAGGAAAATTGTTTATTCAATAAACCTGCCGCGAGCTCTTTATGAATTTTTTTTTTTTTTTGGAGAAAGACGAGTTGAGAAAACTCGCCTCGTCTTACGGAGAGTTTGATCGTGTTCGCGTGTGTCGTATGAACGTTTTCGAAGAGGGGAACCGCGACACGATCGAGAGATCGCGATGATACGAGTTTGACGTAGCGAAGATGTATGACTGACGATCGTTGTGCCAGATTTTCTTATTTTAGTCTCTTTCTCTCTCCCTTATCTCTTCGATCGTATCATAAATTTATTTCTTGTAATGTAATAGAATTTCTTATATTAAAATCAAATGTTTGCTTGGCTTCTCATTCTACTTACAAATTATTTTCGATGAAAAACAAATAGAAATACAATACAGTAGATTTTATTGTATGGATTCGACAATTCGATCTCAAAAACTGCAAAGTTTGTGGAATAAAGTAGTGGAAAGGTATTGTAGAGGATTAATAATTTCATTGAACGACCTCGCGCACACGCGACAGAGACGTTCCACAAATTATCGCGTAGCCTCGTGTCACAGGGTAGGTAGCCGTGACGTCGTTTGAAGGTTTCAGCTGTCGGCATGAATGAGGCCTTAACGTATGCTTTATCGTCCGTACGATGATAATTGAGTTAACGCCGTGCGCGGCGCGTGTGTGGAATGAAATCTACAAACCAAAAGAGAGAGAGAGAGAGAGAGGAGAAGGGAGGAAAAGAGGGAGGGAGGAAAGAGAGAGATATAGGAGATATCGGACACCAACTTATGAGCTCGCTTAAACTTGGCTCGGAATTAAATCATCCTAATGAATTAACGGGAATTAATGCGGTGTTTGTGTCGCGAATTCCCATCCGCTGATGCTGCGCTGATTTAATAATAAAGATTAAGCAACGCTCCGCGGACAAAAATAATTTCACGCTACATAGGAGTTTCGTAAGTTTCATAAATCGTATGTGAATGAATGAATATTTATATATATCAGGTATATTTATACACTGAAAAAGAAGCGATGTGAACCAAATTGTGGTTAACTGAATGAATTCATGAACGTTATATTATATATATAATTCATATACGTATAAAACATTCATGTAAATTTATATATATATATATATATATATATGTATATAAATAGAGCAGCGACACGAAGATTTAATTACGTGTTGTTTTTTTTTTATATTTGCTCGGCTTTTTAAAATTTCAGATTCAGCGCTACGCCGCAGGAAGTGCACGGCTATTAATTTTAAATGAATTAATTAACGATCTTTGCGAACTTACGAGTGGCGAAATTCCTGTTCAACTTGCGAACTGTGAAGTATAACGGTAGCACGTGTAACTAGGCACTACCCGACTCGGATCAATACTTGGAATATTTCTTCGTTCAAGTGGCCCCCGCGCGCGAATATTTAGGGTTTCTCTAGTCGATCAATATCATAATGGAAAAAAATTACAATAGGTAATTTATTTCCAAATTAAAATAAATAAACGCTCACACGGAGGAAAGGTAGCGAAACAGTAAAATAACGATGTGGAATAGTCTGACAAGTCTCGAGTATCTAGTCGTTATCGCGAAATCACGAAACAACGAAATGGCTCGCGAGAGCTGTTTCCAAAAAAAAAAATTGGTCTCTTGCCTTGCGAGAGAAACCGCGTGTATAATTCTGTAATCATAAAATATTATTTGTTCACGTTTAAATCCAAAATATATTTAAATAAGAAGATTAGAGAGATAAGTAATTTCAACATCAGAGATTAGAAAAACAAGTTTGACTGTGAAAAATTGACTTTTCATAGAGAAAGACGCTCTTCTCGGTAAATTTTATTGTTTGATAAAATATTGTTAACGATGATTAGAACAATTGGGAACAATAATTGAACTTAGTAAAATATTAAATATTGATATTTATATTAGTTTAAACGATTGTAGTTTTTAACTAAAAGTTAAATGTTTTTTTATACCATATACAAGTTTCCTCATGTCTCCATCAGTAGAAATTTAAGATAAAACGAAATAATCATAATACAAATGTCAGTATCAAACTCTTGCGATATTTCGCGGAGTTTTGACGTCATGTTCTCTCTCGGTTGTATATCACGCTCTCCGCGCGACGCACAAGATCGTCATTCTTCATCTTTCTCTTCGGAGCGGTAAACATTTTATATCCTCGTCTAAAAGTGTTCGCGCATCAATACGTATCCGACGTATTCTCATAAAAATGCTGCACAACGATAAGGAACACGTATCTCCCGATACAGCTCGCGCGTATCGCAACGCGCGAAATACTGGCGTCGATCGTAAAAAGCAATCGAGATGTAACGAAATCTCAAAACCGGTGCTAACGTGTTTCCGTCGTCGTTAGCGATTTCTCTTTTGATCGACACTTCCGTTTAAACGATTTTTATCAAAGAAAGCTCATAGAGCAACGTCGCAATCTCTCAAATATATGACGACGTAACAGCAAGTACAATCCCATGAGTAAGACTGCGTTCGGAAACATATTACTCGTGTGTTATAATTTTATCTTTATTGCTCTTTTAGAGATACAAACCAAAGATAGACGCTCGTATGTACACGAGTGGTGTTTCCGAACGTGGTCTAACACAAGGTAAATTTAAATTTCGCGTAACTTTTGCTCACAACAGACGCGCGCACGAAAATTGCGCTCCACAACGTGCGCGCAGAGAAAATTGCGAAAACATCACGCGTTTTCAAATGACTAATTCGGTTATAAAAACAAAAAAGCGCGCTTATTCAAATGTTTTGATTAAGAATGAGAATTGATAGCACGCGACATACGCGAGCGACGATAACGCGGAGAGAGAGAAAAAAAAGCAATTTAGTTTCTAATTACATTTTAATTATATATGTAATTAAAATCCAATATATTTCGGTGTGAGCGTTCTGTTATCTGTGAGAACAAACGAAACAAAAAACAAACTTATCTCGAAAGAAAATATAAATTTCTCGTGACATGTTATAATATATAGGTTGTAATCCGAACTATAATACACACATCCTATATATATATCCTCCGATCCGATAAAAAGTTGGAAGCGCGCGCAAAACGCGCGACAAATCGTTGTGTGACGGAATTACGTTCTGTGCATAAACCGTTGGAACAGGATTGTTCTCCAGAGACTCTCGAGAGTCTTATGCAGACAGACGGGTGTGTGCAAGTCCGCCGCGCGACACATGCACCACCTGTTTGCTCGCGCGCACACTCGTATATACCTATGCCATACAACACAAATTGCACACACACAGTTCAGAAATCCTCGAATCGTTATTTTGTTATTTCGCCGTTATTTCGCGCATATTTCAATTTTACGCCGGATCAGACAATCGTCGAGCAATATCGATGCAAATGCACTTTTAATACGGAGCGCGACAAATAGCTGCAGCCCCGCACGTGCGCCATATGGCGCAAATCCCCGCGGTGTATCTTCCGGTAGGTCGACTGAAATTTGATCATTATCGAGGCTCGTGTTTTCTCACAAGCGCGTCTCCTCGATCGAAAGAAAAAAAGAATCGATCGCGAAACATCGTTTTTTTTTCTCCAAAGGTCAAATTCAATCTATCGGCAAACAACATCGCGCAACGCGTTCTCTTACCTTATTTATACTCGCGATTTATCGTTAGGCGTAAATTACGACGACGACCGCGTATAAACGTTACGACCGCGCGGATTCAAGATTAGCCGTTCGATTGTGCAACTACCGGCCGAGAATAGTTCATATAAAGGTTGCTATATAGAAGTTAAACAGAAAGAGATGTATCATTATACATCGACAGGCATATATTATTATTTATTATTATTATTATTATTCAATCCGGTCATTTTTTACGATCCATCAACGAGCGCTATCGCGCAACTGCGACAGCCATTGAAACCCGCGATATTTATTTTACAGCCTGGTTTGAGCGCGCGAGTTTAGGAAAATTTGTCGGCTGCGGCGTGTCGAGTGCAACAAATCCAACAACGAACGCGTAGTACGCATCCGCGCTAAAACAAAGTCGAAGCGGGACGTTGAAATCCGAGTCGGGATTTAGAAATTGCTTGGCAGTTGCAGAACCGGTAGTAAATTTATATCGCTCTGGTCTGAGAGAGCGAAAAACAAATACACACAGAAGAGATTTCGGAAACTCGCAAAATTCACCGATATGTAATTACCTCGTATTTTTGTTTATTTAGCTGTAGGTAGATAGATGGTGGTAGGCGCGGACTGAGTTTCTGCAAAGCTCGTGCGGAAAATTGTTTTATCGCGCAAAAATAGCACGCGATGCAAACAGAAATTTGTAATTTCGTTTTTTTATCTTTTTTTATTTAAAAAATTTTTTTATAGCTCCGATAAAAACTTTAGTGACGTCGCCGTTTCGCAAAAAACGAGATTTAAGACTGTAAACAAAGTTAAAGACCGTAAACAAAAACGCGAGGAAGAGAGATTGCAACGCGCGATCTCTCTTTTTCGAAACGAAAACATATATATTCGCGCGACGAATGATGCGGAAGCTCGTTCGTTGGAAAAGTAAACTATGTGCGCACGGATGCGCACATATTGACGAGATCACGAAGTCGGGCGTTCGGCCAGATTCTGTTAATTTTTCATCCCCGCTCTCTCTCTGATCCTCAAATATAATCGAGATTGTATAATCTTTAACGGGAGAAATCGCGCCTCTGTTTCAAAATCAACGGGAAGCGAAAGAACACGTTGCGAAAATCCGCAAAACTGGAATATCTTCTCGGAAACATCAAAATTGAGTTTTTTTTTTTTTTTTTTTATTAATTCTTATTTGTCGTTCGATGTGAATTAGAAATGAAGCGGCGATGGAAGGCGGTTGTGTAACGCATAGTCGTCGATCGATCGGCGTTATCACGTATGTTAGAATCCGTTCGTATAAACCTCTAAGAAAAAAACCGAAATTTTGCATACGGCAAAGATAACAAGTTTTGCGCGTACCATTTGCATGATAATTAAAAGAAGAGAACAAGAAACACACGAACGGTCGTATCAGCGATCGTCCCATACACACATCGCCGCTACGCCTTCTTTGCGATTCTTATATATATAAATCTACACCTGTGTGTATCTAACTGTCCATAGAAGAGACGTGCATACGATCATCCAAGAAAGGATAATGTATCGCGCGACGCAAACGACATTGTAACGTCATCTTCATTGATCGTTCAGTGGCCAACGAGCAACGTCAGGTCGTCTCAGAATGTTGCGATCGTGTGTATATATACGAATGCACACGTTCGAGTATATTTTAGATATTCAAGAGCAACAATAGTGGAAATTCCACACATACACACAATCCTTGTAACAAAATTTAAATTACTTCATATTTTTAAAAAAATATAGGTGTAATTGAAAACATTTGTTTAATTTCTTATTTATCTTAAAATTCTCTCTATTATATTTTATATAAATAAAAACTTTTAATAGAAAAATTAATAATATTGATATTAATATTGACCCAATATATGATTAATTCATAACCGCAACCCGTCGCGCGCGTTTCGTGCGAGATAGACACGGTAGAAAAAGAGATCGAATCTCACCTTGAAGACGTCGGTTCTTCGTCGTCATAACTTAGCATAGTAGAACTTTCATTCGACGCGCTCGCAATCGGTAATCATTGGCGGGAGTTCGTTGTACGCGCGCCGTTTCTTTCTCGTACTCGAGATAAACAAGAGGATCTCGATCCGGGACTTTCTCCGTCAATCGTCGCTTCTGTAGTTGTTTGCGTCATCGCGACCGCATCGCGTCACGCTGGAAATTCCAGCGGCAAAACTTTTCGCTCCACGATCCCCTCGTTTCTTGTCTCTTTTTGATTTATTATCGACAGTCCGTGTGAATTCCCGAAGCTTACCCGGCGTGCGTTCACGTCGACTGGCCAACGTAGTCGCGGCTACTCCCCCCGTAGGGTCAAGGTCGTCGAGAAGAGTCTTCGATCGGACGATCAACTGGCGAGGAAATTGAATCGAACTCGATGCACACGCCGCGAAAAAAAAACGCACTCGTTCTGACGAATTTACTTCCCACATATGCCACACAACACAGAGATTTGCGTGTTGGTAGTTAAAATTAAAAAAGAAAAAAAAGCCGTTTCTGTGAACACGAAAGAACGCTCGCGTTTCACAAAAAGTTCGCGGCCTTGCGATCGCTCGATTAGAAAAGCGCCACAGCGAGCTTTTGAGCGCCAATCAGTCGAGAGATGACCAACAGCTTCTCTCCCCGGTTCTCTCTGTATCCGCTCAAAATATAAATCCGGCAAGTGTCACAAAACGCGTTCCTGGATAGATTTACAGTCAATCTGGTAAAAAAAAAAAATAAAAAATTCAGTACTTTCCGGTCAACGAGTCTAAAAAATGTCGGTCACTCGACCCGAAGATCAGCGACGCTTTCGCGAGCGAGGAAGGCACTTTGGGACTCGTCGTTCGTCTCTCACTGTTTCTCAGCATCCGGTCACGTACTACGTTTAGGACGCGGCGAGTGTCGATCGCATGTGTGTCGTGACGGCTCGTGCCGTCGAGAACTGTTCTCCTGGTCGACGTCACGCGCGCCGTAGGCCGTGCTCGACTGGCCGATCGGTGCGCGGTCGGCCACGCCGACATCTCCCGCAACAGTGGAAACGGACGGCGCAAGGTGCGTGCGTCTCCGCGACATAAGAGGGAGAAAGACAGAGAAAAAGAAAGAGAGAGAGAGAGAAAGAGAGAGACGGCAAACACTATATTATCCGAAAACCTGTTACAAGTTTAATCGGTCAATTAAAAAAGATTAATCGCAATAACCGATTATCTTTTAAGTGCGCCGCTTTGAAATGATAAATAATTATTCAAACAACAAAAATTATACGAAAGGAAAATATATACGAGATGAACCTTCATAATTCACATAATCTACGTTTGTGTAACATAATGCACGAGACGCGCACGTTGCGTAAATTGTAGATTTGTTATTGTTGCATCGCGTTTTTTTTTTTTTTTTTTT